CCTAACTGGTTTTTGGCAAGTTTCTCTTTGTTTCATGATTTGAGAATTGATTGATGTTGGTTGTGAGACTTGCTTATGTGGCATAATGTGAGGGATTGGATAGGAGAAAGGGAAGGGGAGAGAGTTGAGGAGAAAGTAAGAAAGAGAAAAGGGAAAAAAGAGAAAGAGTTCAAGGAGAAAAAGAGGGAAGGAAGATGGGTGAGAATGTTTAATTCCTCCCCTTTATCTATTTTTCTTTTTTTTTTTTCCCAAATATAACTAATGTGCAAATCTGGATCTCCAGCCAACAAAACACATCCCAACAAAACTTTGGTAAAGTTTTAAAGTCTTCAACTTTCAACCTCTAATATTTGTTGCAAAAATTACCTATATGCATACAAATTAAGTTAGATATTCTATTAAATATCATTCTTAATAAGCCCATCCAACCTCAAGACTCTTTTAGGCCTATCTGGTTTCCGATGCAGATTCCTTTGCACTTGTGCAAAAGTATGGGAGTGCAAATTCTGATTTGTTTTTGCTTCAGCCTTTGTTTTATTTTGTTTGTTTGTATTGTGGATGAAGTAAAATTGATTCCGAAGGAAAAGTGAAATAAAACCTAAAGCAAAAGTGGCCTCAAATTTGCATTCTCATGCATTTATCCTAGTATAAATAAAATTGCATTTAGTGCAAAGTGCAAACAAACAGAGCCTTGAATACAAAGTTAGTGCAGAAAAACTAGAATACCTTCATTTCTTCCACAATACTACCATTTTTTCTTAAATCTCATATCTAATGAACAATTTTAGGTTTATAAAGTGTTCGTTAAGTCTAAACCTCTTCCTGAAATGAAGCCTTTGAGATTGTTTTAGTATAATTCTTGTAAATGAGCAAGGATTTTTAAGATTTTTGGATGTTTTGGCATGTAAGAGCAACAATATATCCTACTTTTATTTTCTTAAATTTAGTGTAAATTGAATGTCTTCTTTTCTTTTGGGGACAAATTTAACTGCCTGTTTCCTCAAAAATAGGAGGATTAAACATGTGAAGAATATTTGATATGATCATTCTGTTGTAAAAACTAACCAATGTCACTTGAGCCAACACAAGGAGATATGGATATATAAATTGGTCTAGTTAAATGATTGATCCACCTTGGCCCAACTCCATTGGATCAGGTTCAGGTTGAGCGCACCAGACCCAACCCATTGACATATTTTTTTTCCTCGCCTATATTATATTGTTACAAATGTTGTAACTTGGATAACATTTTGTGTTGTGTAAATCTAACTTATTATTATTGGTGAAGGACTTGAAATCACATTTCCTTTTTTTTAAGTGATACTTGAAATCATGTTTTACATGAACACAAAATAGGTGACAAGATATTTTTTCATTACATGGTGGCATTGGGAAGTTTGTAATTAATATAACCTTCAAGTGGGCGATTTGAAGATTTTTCATTACATTTGGCTGGTGGGCCCTTTCAAAATTTAACAAATGCTCAATCCTAGCCCACCCAACCTGAAAACAGAAATTCCATTCTGATAAGCTTCTCTCCGGGTATGGGGTATGAATCAGGCCTAAAGCTCATAGAGGAGCCAAACCAAACCAATCTAGAAAATTGGCAATGCAGAAATAAATGATCCATTATCTCTATAACCGACTCACAAAAAGGGCATGTGTCATTACAGAAATGAAAAATTTTATGGAATTTACTTCTAGTGGGTAAAGCATTATGGAGTTTTATGACCTGACCAAAACTGAACCAGATTTATTTTGCATAAATACATATTTAACTATGGTTCCCCTAAATCACTTTTAACTTCGTTACTATATGTAGTTAACCTCAATCGAATATTTTAATTATCAATGATTGCAAAGGGTTGCTATCCAAATATTTTAATCTTTAAATTTAATTATTGGATTAAGATATTTAAAGAAATATAGTAAAAGAATTCAAAATCTAAACCAGCTTTCTTTTTACCATTTTATCTTTATTTTCACACAGGCATGACTTTTCTTTGTTTTTTTTAAGCAAAAAGATGTGAATAAATTGGTTTGCAACCCAATCCAATCGTTGGGTTGATTTAGGATTGGCGTTAGAGGTTTAACAACTTGGGTTGGATTAGGGGTTATCTCAGTCCAACCTAACCCAAGTTGTATCCCTACTACTATATAGGGTTACAAATGGGTTAAATTTAATCCAATTCATTTCATTCGAACTCAAATTTAATCAAACTCTTTGATTAAGACATGCATTTGGCCATAATTATATTGAATCGTATTTGAAATATATGATTTGTTTATTAATCAGATCCAATTTGGATATTGCTTGATCCAATCCAATTGTATATATAAGACAATTTTCTATATAAAAAATGTTTTAGAGTTATTAAGTGAGATTTTGGATTTAGACAAACCTATTTTCATTTATGGTATAGATATATTGTTTTATTTCTAATTTTATATAGATCTATATGTATCTTCATTTGTGAACAAATCAAATTTGGATCTATATTTTATATATCCCTTCGATATTGAGTCGAATTTAGATCTCTCAAAGAATTCTTATTGGACCATGCATATTGACATCAAGGGGGCGTTCTTTTTTCGGATTCTAGGAGGAGGGAAAGTTGTGACCAAGAATCCCATGTTATTTTTTCAGATTTATGTGGGGACCAAGGAAAGTTTATTTTCCTGGGTACTACTTACCCGGGTAAGTGATACCCATTTCCTAAGTGGGTAAATAACTTTCCCCTCCTAGGTGGATAAATAACTTTCCCACCTAGGGGGAAAGTTGCAAACACTTGAACGGGACAAAAATACTCTTTTTAATAATAAATTTTTATGGCTAAAATGGTCATTGCCTTATTTATATGATAAATAAAAGAACATGGGTAAATGCATTTATTCGGGTAAGTGTTTCCCAGGAAAACTTACCCAGGTAACTGTATTTACCCGGATAAGTAACTTACCGAAAACCGAACAGAGTGGTCTTGACGCAAAGGCTCAGTTTGGAAAAAGTACAATACAAATATGGACTATATAAATACATACAAAATAATACAAAGCATAAGGTTTTACACTCTACATATTTGTATTTGTATTCTTTCTAAACTGAGCCGAGGTTAAATTAAGTTGGGATAATAAAAAAATGGGTAGTTACAAAGACCTCTTGTACCATGGGGTCAGTGACAATTACCCCTGAAATTTCACCAAATACCGTTGGCAGTCAAGTCAAATGACTGAATACATTAAATTACCAAAATACTCAAATGAACTTTTCTAATTTTGTTTTTTTTTTGTCTTTTTCTCTTAAACCCTTGTTGACTCAAAAATACATTCCCTTTATTTTCTCTAAATGAAACCAGTTAAATAACAAGAATCGTTTTTTAACATAGAAAAATAAATTTCTTTAAATTCTTGTTTCATTTCACTAACATCATAACATGAATGTCTCTCTTCATCTTAAAATAATATAAAAGTTATCTACTCCTTTTTCCAATAAATTAAGAAAAAACAAATGAAACCTTAAATTTATAATTATAAAAAAAAGACCTCTACCGTTTCATAGAAATATTATATCCAATTAGAAATCTACAAGGATGTATTAGGGCAATCAAGAGGACTTCAATATTATATTTAGAAAACCAATCCAATCATAAATTGTTCAAATAAATAAGATAATGGTAGTTTGGGAATTTAAAAAATCTTAAACAATTGAGTGAAAATCTTTTTTTTTTTTTGAAGTTAAGAACTCTAGTGGAGGGGTATTTATCACAAAGTGAAAGTTTGGAGGGTTTTTTTGTCACAAATGAAAGTTTAAGGGGGTGATTGTCACTAAGTCTATAATAGAGGGGGGTTTTTATAATTTACCTTAAATAAGGTATGAAGAAATCTCTTAAATTACCACTATGTTTTAGGAAATAGACTTGTACACCTATTGTTTATAAAATCTCTTAAATTATTCCTATTTAACAGAATTAAAGATTGAAATGTTAAATTTATCATTCATTATTCTTCAAAATTTTAATTCTAAACAGCAGCCACCAGTCATTCCATTAACCCATACTGATCATTGCTTGAAGACTAGTTCCGGTTACGTTCTGGTGTCATCCGTAACCACTCTCCATGGTGGAGAGAGGAGAGGTGTAGGAGATGTTAGAACTAAACAGGAACCAGTCTTACTTTTACTACTAATCAGTTCTGAAAATGGCGAGGAACTCACCACAAAGTTTGATATTGGAGAGAAAAAAATCTGTGTAAGTGATGAATTCTTTAAACCTCGCTCGTAAACAACCCAGCTGACTACAACTGAACTTGGGACTCTCCAGTCCCCACACATTCTTGATCGTAATCCCTTTAGACAATAGGGAGAGTGTTGGGATTGAAATTGTCATCTGTGTGATCCTTCGAAAAAGACCGGTCAGAGAGTACTGCAACTCTTTTTCCATTAGGTGCTGTTTTAGTTTCCATGGGGTAGCTAGATATTGAAACTGGTACAGAGAAATTAGTGCCATTTAACCAAGCGATCTATTCAATCTGGACTGAATGGAAGAAAAGAAATTCTGAATGTATCCAGTTAAAATTAATGCTTTAGTAGTAAAAACATGATGCTTACTGGGATTAAAACAAACCTTTCTATCTTCTTTCCTACGGATTTGATCTCATTTCTGAACAATTTGAGTTGAGGACAGTGAGATGGTCGATTGTCGGGACGATAAGGCTCCAGGAATCCCTAGGCTATGTTTGTTTTGATTTGTCAATACCCATCCGCCATAGAGGAGCTTTGAAGAAGAAGAACGGGTCTTGAGTTACATTAATTAAAAATTTCATTACCCATCAAAGTTCCAGAGAAAAAAAAAAAAAAGAGTTAACACTGAATGTTTAATCACATGTGGACGGAATATGATGGTGTTATAACGATAGGGGCAGATTTAGTTAGTTGTTAGAAAATTTAGGGTAATTTAAAGCAATCTTGTAAAGTAAGGGTGTATAAGTTCATTTTCTAAAACTTAGGTGATAGGGTAGTTTACTGAATCCTGGTGTGGTGAATTAACAACTGACTTCCAACTCCGAGTCTTTGACTGAGCATCTGCAAGACCATACCAGAGCTATAACAGTTCTGTTCCGTTTACCCAGTGTCCTTAGGATCCACCCGAGTTCCGATTCATTTCAGCCAGAGAAGCAATTGCCATGGCGAGCCGATCTCTGATGTTTTTTGTTCTGATAGCTCTTTTCCTGATTTCGTCTTCTCTTGCGACCTCAGACGCTCCTTTCATCGTTGCCAGCAAGAAGGCCAGCCTCACCAGGCTCAAATCGGGTGCTGAACGAGTCTCTGTCTCCATCGACATCTACAACCGAGGATCTGCGTATGTTTTTTCAGAATCTCCTTTTTTCTTCTTTTCCTAAATTCGATCTTTCTCTAGTAATATCCGTCATTTTCTGTAGATCTGGTCGGCTTGTATGTTTTTTTTTTTTTTTCTATGGTGAATTCTCTGTTGTTCTTGTCCATTTTGTTTATTTGTAAATGTGAACTATCTCACTAAAGAAAAGAGCTTTAAAATTTTTACAGTTTTTCCACTTTAGTATTCTTCTGAATTCAAGTTCTGCAATAATTGGTTTACAGTGCATCTCGTGATCTAGGGTTTATGAATCTAATTGCTGGCGTCATTCATCTTTTATCCTCCGTTTTAGGATAATAGTTTTTTTTTTCGAGGGGCTTTTGGGAAAAGAGCATTTCTTAAGTAAATACGATAAAATGCTTCTGTTATTTTTATTCCTTTTTTTGTATTAGTTACTTTTGGTTCCATGGTTGTTAATCTTTTACCACTTGAGTCGTTGTCATTTTTCTTTGTTTGTTCCTGGTAATTTCACTTGTTTCGAACTTTCGGTGAACATCTTCTTGCAATCGATCTCGGTTCTGTTCTCTTCCTAACTTTTCCTTTTTCCTTTTCTCGTATGGTGGTCTTAGTTTATTGGGGCTGCATCAAGTGTTCCGTATTTCATAGGGAATAGGGGTTTACTGGAGTCTTATCGCCTTGATAGCGTTGTGCCCCTTCAATTGCCTATTTAAAAGCAAATGGGAGCTAGGGTTCTGAACACTCTTTGGCTCTGGGAAATGGAATGCTGTTATAGATCTCCCTAGACATGCATTATGAAGTCTATACCATCTGTAAAATCATTGAGAGATGACTGCCTGAAAGAAAAACATATAGAAGAGGTGGAATTCTCAATTCTGCTGACTACCTGTTTCTTGAAATTATTTGAGCTGGATTTGTTGATTTTGTCTTATTATACATTATTTACATTTGCCATGGTGGCCTAGTAAATCCTTAAAGGGCTTGGTTTCAAAAAGTGAGGCCTACAACTTTTGTTGACAATTCCATATATGGAATATTGGTTATTGGAATAATTCATTTATTTAATTATGATACTCTGAGTTAAGCCCTTGTATACTCCGCTGAAATATGAGCATTTTGTTAGGTTGGAATTTCATTTTGCAGCCTTCTTTGTACTCTCTTCTTTGCCTTCTTCAACTTGCAGCCTGCATCAATCTATTGTTTACCTAGTAAACTACATCCATTGTTTAGTAGCTGTGTGTGCATAGTACATTATATTAAAGCTAATAAGAAACTGTACACAAGAAGTTGTACAAGGTTATTAGGAAATTATTTGTACAGCTTTTGGGGAAAAGATGGTTTACCTATTTACTTATCTCTCTATAGCCTTTTCGGAGGGGATTGTAATACTAATACAACCAAGGGACCCCTAGAAGTGTTTTTTACTGAAAAGCTTTTGCATACATCCCAAGACCTTTTTTGTGATCCAAATGAGGGAGAAGTTGCATTCATAGCTGTAGTAGAGAGGTCAAAGAATCCTGACATTTGGCTATAGCTGTAAGGGGAATGGATCTCTTCTGGAAGTGTTAATGGGATTTCAGGGTGGAGGAGGATTTGGGGAGGGGTAGTTCAAAGCAAATAGAGGTGCAGAACATGGTTTAGGATTGGAAATATCCAACTATCTGGTCCTCAAGCTAGCCTACATTATCTAGAGCACTGGCCTGTCTTAAAAGTTTTAACTGTTTATAACTTATAACATTTACAATACTATTGATCAGCATTTATGCTGAATCAGCTATTTTCTGATATGTAGCATGTTCTTGGTGCCAAAAGAATTATTTAGAGGACCACATTCCTTTGCATTGAAATCTAGGTGGAGTCTAAATTATGGAGTGCTTATTTTTGAAAGTAAAGAAGAATTTTCATTAAAATAAAAGAAGAGTACAAGAATTCTAGATAAGAAATCACCAAAAAGAAAACAAACAGATGTGGCTTTACCCTAATAAGGTAGACACTCCCCTTCATTTACAATAACCAGACAATGATGCTCTGCCTCCAACAATATACCCTCCCCATCCTTCCATCTTCACTCATAATCTCTTCATGTTATGCACACTTCACACCATCTCCACAGTTCCTCACCCAAACTCCTCCCAATGCTACCTGTTGATCTCAACTTCTCTTTCTACAATCCTACTTAAATTTGCCTTGTCAATTTTAAATACTTTACCAATTGCTACTACCTACTACATCCTCTTTGTCTTCATTTTCCTCTACTTTCTTGTCATCTTCTGAATTTTCTCCATTCTCATTCACCCAAACATCCATCTTTTCATTGAGTGGCCATGTTCGCTACTATTTTTTTTTTCCTTCAAAACATTTCCTGCTAATCATTTCTGCTTCTCTGGCATCTTATCTTTTAAGTAATGATAATATTGCTAGTGATCTTGTCTTGATCATATTTAAGTCTTTCCCCCTTTACTAATTCATTCTTTTTATTTCCCTCTACAGTTAAACTAAAGCCACCATATATCTACCTTGCAGTATAGTATCATTGGTAGTACTATTCCTCTGAGAAATATTCTTACCCTTCATCCTCTTGTAAGCCCCATTGGTTTTTTTTGCATGGCTCAACACCACTTAAACAACATTTTATCCTGTAGAAAGCCACCATTATCTACCTTGCAGTATAGTATCATTGGTAGTACTATTCCTCTGAGAAATATTCTTACCCTTCATCCTCTTGTAAGCCCCATTGAATTTTTTGCATGGCTCAACACCACTGAAACAACATTTTATCCTGTAGAAAATTTTTGTAATATGAATCAGGCTCTGTTGTTTTTGTCTCTTAATTTGTTTCCCAAATCAACATTCTTATCCCTCCAGCTGTCCAGCAAAAATTTCAACATAATCTCATAGTCCAATCCGAATTGTTTCTGAAACTATACCCTGATAATTATTCCTTCTCCACTCCAAGTCAACCCCCCAAATTACTGATTACAATTTACAACTCCATTATCAGACTCCCATTTAGAATGTCCATCAATGCCGAAATCTATGATATCAACCTTCTTAAGTAAACAGAAATTGTGATTATTTGAAGCCTAGCACCACACCAGGAGCCTTTGGTTGAGCAACCAACTTTCCATCTATCACTCTGATAACAAGCGATGCTTAAATCTTCCTGATTAGGCACTTTGCAGTTGTTCACCAGAAGGTTATCAACACCTTGCTTATCAGCTGCCACCTTATTTTCCCCCTTGGTTTTTCTCCCCTGGTCAAATCTGTATTACCTTTCATTTCTGCTTCTTCATGAGCCAACCTTTCATTTATAGTACCAAACTCCCCAAAGATCATCGCATTATTGCATACTCTCTTCAATTTGTCTTTGACTTCTACTCTTATCTACATTTTCTATCAAAAGATCTCCAACCACCTTGATGATTGAATCTTGTTCCTTCTCGAAACTTTAGACCTTTGTTTCATTCCCTCCTCCTAGAGAGGTCACCTTTATACCTCTGACATGTACTCAAMTCAACTAAGTTTTGTCCCAATTATATGGGGTCAGCTACATGGATCCTGTTGTCATTCCACTATGTTTAGTGCAGTGTTTTAAAAGGCATGGGAGGCATACGCCTGGAGGCGCACCTCTAGGCGAGGCGCTCCCAAAACGCCCTGAGGTGTATGCCAGAGGCGCTGACACCTCTGAGGCGTATGCCTCGTGCGCTTTTTTCATTAGTCATGCTAGAGGCGTATGCCTCATGCACATCGTATATAAAAAGACAGAAAAAGAAAAGAAAAAAGAAAAAAAAAGGAAAGGAAAGGAAAAGAAAAGAAAGGGAAGGGAAATAAAAAGAAAGAGAAGGAAAAAAATAGAAAAGGAAAGAAAAGAAAAGGAAAGGGAAGGGAAGAAAAGATAAGGGGAAAGAAAGTGGTTTGCCCCCTGCCCCTTCGGCTAGGGGGCTTCGCCCCCAAACCCACTGCCCCCTTTTCGATGCAGCCCAATTTGTTTTTTTTTTTTTTTTTTTTTTTTTTTTTTGAGTTAGGGGGGGTCTTGCTCCGCTTCGACAAGATCCCCACTTTCAACTAATGTTATGCATCTTTATTCTTCTTAAAATAAAAGATTTTTATTAAAAATAAAGAAAAAATGAGATCCCCCCTTCCTCCTCCTAACCCCCCTCCTCTTAAGGAGGCGTAAGCCTCCTTGTGTTCGGAGGTTTACGCCTCTTGCATTCTGAACTACGCCTAACGCCTCTAGGTAGTGGAATGCCTCGCGTCACACCTCCGTGTTTTAAAACATTTCAGTGCTTACTGTTAAGCTATGGGCCCTTAAATCATTTCTCTACTCCAACGTGTAAAAGATCACTTACTGGTGCTGTAGACAGTTTACAGCACGGACATGGTACTCAATTTGAAGTCTGCATATGAATTGTTGTTGTTGTTGATAAGTAACAGAAGTGATTGTATTAATAAATTTAAAATCTCCTGACGACCCAATTTATGAGTGACATGCCAGATACACAAGACGCAAGACAAAACCGAGGAAATTACAAATTTACTCATAGCATAGGTAATCCCCATTCTAGACTCTCCTTTACAACCCCCAATCTTGCCCCCTGAAATGCTGAGAATAATGTTCGTATTGTGGTCTCTTATCACTTCTAAACCTGAATCCCCTGGGTTACCAAGACTACATCCATCAAAATTGAGTTTCAACTTTCCCACATTAGGTGCCTTCCATTCCCCACTTATTTGTTGGTTCCTTTTTGGTATCCTGCTACAATTTGCCGTCCTTTTAATATTTTATTTATAGCAGCTCCCTTGATGTGTTCAAATCCTTATATGCCAAGGCCCAATGTGCCATTCTTACCATTGTGAGATCTATCACTGAGCCAACCCCAGGCTTTTTGTCTTCAAAGATTCTTGCATTCCTCTCCCCTCACAATTCTTATAAAATTGCTGCTTTTGTACAATGCCATAGCCTTTTTTGCCTCCTGTGGCATGTAATTAAATTTGTAATGAGCAAGTCCAAGACATTGGAATCTATCAAAAAAAACAAGTCCAAGACATTGGATGGTGATAGCCATACACTCTTGAAAAGAAGAAAAAAGTGGTTCCATGCCTGAGTAGCATACTGACTAGTCAAAAGAAAATGGATGGTATTTTCTCCACTCCTCAAGAAAAGAATGCACACATGAGGGGCATATTCAACAACTTTTTGTTGATTTATACTTCTGGAGCCAGATAACTAATACCTGCAGGGTGGATTATACTTAGAAGGGGAAATCCATTAAGCTTTGCCCATATCCTGATAGGTTTCACAAAAATTTGTACTTGATAAAAATTGCTAAAAGAGGCTGCAATCCTTCCTTGAGGAATTAGTGGTACAGTTGAAGCCACTTCTGATTAAACATTATGTAAACCATCTAGTTGCAGTGATGAGGTTCCATAATGTAGATTTTGTACTGAAACTTGCTTCTGGTGTAAGCAATGGAAGCCATTCTTTCAAGTTTGATTTCAATGTTCAAGAGACTGGAAAAGGCTAGTCTTATACCCCCTTGGAGGCTTGTTTGAAGTGTTGTTGCAAATCATTAGTGTGGAATAAACCAATATGGACTACTGTATCGGGTGGTGTACCTGTGGCCATCCATATACCTATAGTGCAGGCTCTGCCTTACAACAAAGTACTGTGACTCTTAACTTTGCATTGTCATAGGAGAAGGAATCCAGTCATAGAGAGGTAAGCAAACTATGGATGAGGAATCGGCTATGAGGTTCCACCCGCTTACATATCATTTACTGTAAAATCTGCAAATAAAGTAGAAGTTTTTAGCCGGTTTGCCACCCTGATCAGAATGTTTTCTTGTAGATTTCCTTTGCTTTACTTTCCCCTTTGAAAATTCCTCAGTTCTTTTTTCCCAAATCATCCAAAGAGTGGCTACCCTTACACTTCACATCATCTTACCTCTTTTTCTTCTTGGGTTGAAGTAGTTTCATTCAAAAATATTTTGTACATCCTTTGAGGAGACCACCTGCAACCAAAGAGATTAAGTTGATTTCTTGCTTGAAAGAATTGCACATGTGCATGTGCATAAATAATCTTATAGTAAGCAAGTCAAGGATTGATTTCTTGCTTACTATAATATAAGATTATTTATGCTTAAATCTTTACCTATCTTGACTTGCACATGTGCATGCACGTGCTCTCACACACACAGAGACACTTTGTTTCCACCAAGTTGTGGCTAATCCGCCACAAAACTTCATATTTTGAGCATTATACTGAATCTTAAATATACTTGGGGGATGCTTGTTGACTGCTGAATTGGTTGAATTGAATGACTTATCTGTTCATATTTTAATAAATAAATAGGATACAGGGTCCTCATTTGTTGAATGGCATGTCCACTGGAATTTTTTTCTTTGATCAGTAAACAATCAAAATTTATTAGAGTACTAAAAGAATGATGTACAGCTGTGTTGTGTCTTGTACCCCTTTTTGTAGGCTAGTTTCCTACTTAAGTTTTGTTATTTAAACTTACAACTGGTGCCCGAATGGAACCACCCGCAAAGTAGTTGATCCATATGGCTAAAATCATTTGTAGCCATGGCTTAGCATCATTGCTATTGATTTGAAAATGTCACCATGGTTTAGCATCATGGCTAAGCATCATGGCTTGGCATCAAATTTTCTCAAATCTTATATTTGTTGTTATTATTATTATTTTTTTTTTGCTTAGGAACTTACATTAGCTAATATATTATTGTTCCATTGTAACCCTTTTCAGGACCGCATATGATGTAAGTTTAGTCGATGATAGTTGGTCTCAAGATGTCTTTGATCTGGTCAGTGGTAACACTTCAAAGTCATGGGAAAGGCTTGATGCGTGAGTTTGTCATTCTTTTAGTGACCCACCTGTCCTAATTGAGTTCTTTCCTTTTTCCATCCTCTCTCTCTCTCTCTGAGAATTAATATATGTAATTTTGCAGTGGTTCTCTTGTTTCTCACTCGTTTGTTCTGGAGTCCAAAGTGAAGGGCATGTTCCATGGTGCACCAGCTGTCATCAAGTTCCGCATCCCCACAAAGGCTGCTCTACAGGTTTGGCATTTGCAGAATGCCTTTATGACGTCGTTCCATGTTACAAATTCCTAATAAATTCTTGGCTATGATAACTTGTTTTTCTAGGAGGCTTTCTCAACTCCAGTACTCCCTTTAGATATCCTTGCTGACAGACCTCCAGAAAAGAAGTTCGAATGGGTAAATTCATAAAGTGATTTATATCAAATCATTTCTTAATTGCTTTTTTATTTGTTGCATTGACTGACAATTTGCTATTGTTTTTCATGGTATCATGTTGGGGTCGGCGCACTCTCAGGCAAAGGTGAGAGTCATGCCTGTTGATTTTTAATGATTTCATTTTTTTTTTTAAATCTTCTTATTCATCGTTTTTAAAGTGCAGAGGCTATTGGCAAAGTACGGGTCATTGGTTTCGGTGATATCCATTGTAGTCCTGTTCGTGTATCTGATTGTTACTCCATCGAAATCAAGTGCTGCAAAGGGAAGCAAGAAAAAGCGTTGAGTATTATAAATGGGTTGCAGGGCAGGGCCAAACTTCTGCGTGGTTCTTTTAGGAGGCTGGATATCAAGGTTGAAGACATTGACAATCCACAATCCCGATTTCCCAACTATCTTTATTCTTTGGTTTTCTTTTCAGAAACTCAGGAGTCCGGACGTATTGAAAATTTTCGGAATCTAAGACGTATTTAGATTTCTAAACTTTAGCTGTTAGCGTGCTAGTGTCTTAGTGATTGACTTGAGAGGTTTGCGTCTCCAACCCAACGGCTATATCTTATACATGGAGAATCGGCATGAGCCATCATGGGTGATCATTCATGAGTTTAATATCAGTGCAATTTGTACTTGTATCGATCTTTTAAGTTTTAACCGGTAATAGTGAAGAGATGGAATGGATGGAACTTTAGTAATGATCATGTATACGGTATACCCTTGGACGTGTACCATTTCCTGAATATAACACGGGAGGGCTGAATCTTTCTCCTCCCCCTTCATTGGATGGAGATTTTCTGGAACTGTCGTACTCGTATGTTAGGGCTCATTAGGAAGGGCTCAGCTGAGATGAAGATTCAGCTAGGCTAGTTCACGGTTCACCTGCTTTGGCTGCAATCCGGAATTTTCTTGTAAAGCTATCTGTCTGGGCCCACCTTGGAAAGTCAAAAGCCACCACGGTTCCTGATTTTATTGGTCAACTGGCATATGGTTTGCTCGTTGGGTGAGTAAGAAGCCACCAAAACCGTAATTTAACTGGGACCTGTAAAGACAACTGGTTCCTGATTTTCATGGTCCGACCGTTCGGTCCTGAGCTGAGTCTTGCAACATGGTTTCAATTTTCAAATGTTGCATGTTGATCATAATACTTGATACGCAACTTTTAGTATTTAATGTGCTGATATTTTAAAGTTTAAACCTTACTAACAGCTCTCTAGATATTTTAACCAAACACAGCTTAAAGGCTGTTCGCATAGGACCCACCTCAGAAATTTAGATGCTGCTGCACTTCAACCCTTCCAAATGGGCATTTCATCATTGGCTATATGCTTTGGAGATTATGGCCACACTGGAACTAATAAGTAGCTTAGAATTCAATTGTTTATAATTCATTTGTGCTATACAGGTAAGTTGGCCTCCACGCTTCCTTAGTTGTACCTTCATTCATCATGTGTTTGGAACAGTTTAGAGTCCAAGTACATATATGCATTGACCTTATTTGGTTGGATAGATTTAATTACAAATGTTTCTATCACCTTTTACATAAAATTGAGCTATGTGCGAAGGAGTGCGGAGGAAACATTAAAAAGATTATATGCATGATGTTTCTTATAATAGAGGACATTTCTACTTTAATTGTTTTATGTGGTACCACCCATGATGCTTATAAGTTCATAACTGCAACAAACAATTGGGTATTGTGTTATATGCTTATAAGTTCCCATTCTCTTGATGTTATTTTTCTTTACAAAACAGAATACTGGAAGTCTGGAAGCTGTTAAAGAAAGGGATCAAAACCCATTACTGAGACAATTGTATCCTACCACTAGTTGATCACTTGAACTGGATTAATCAACTAAGTACATGGACGTGAGCAATGATGGAACTTCAAACATTGGGGATGTTCTACAACATGAATGTTTTTGTTTTTATTTGTTTTTGAAACTGTCATATCTGTCCCAAAGAAAAAAAAAAGAAAAAAAGAAAAGCATGTTTTTATGTGTGTGGTAAACAAAAACAAAATGGAACTTCAAAAACAAGTTTTTGAAATCATGGCTTTTAAAATAAAAACAAATTTTGTAATATAGAAACTATATAGTTTATGGAACATAATATTAAATAAGCAGATGAAAATATGCTTTTCAAATTAGAAATTCAATAATGTGTTTTTTTTTTATTTCAGTTTTGAAAACAAAAAACACATATTTGATCAAAAACATGTTTTCTATGTTTTTAATTTTGTTTTAGGCTGCGTTTGGAAATGATGCAAATGGAATGTAAATCCCGTTTCAGGGTAAATTTGAACTCTGGTTCACTTTTGCATGTGTTTGGCAACATTACATTTATGCATTGACAAATGACAGACCAATGCATATTTGCATTGATAATAAGATGTAAAAATACATCAATAAAAAAGAAGTGGGCTTTTGATAAAAAAAGCATATGCTTTATTAGAATTCATGTTTGCATCCATTACAGCTAAAAGTTTGTATGGCAAGAAGGTAAATTTGTCAGTGCAAAACTAACCCAATTTTGCAATTTATATGAACCACTTTACACTCTACATATTTGGCATTCACACTTATTTGCATCATTTCCAAACACAGCCTTAAGAACTAATTTATTTTCAAACTAGTTGATCTTGTTTTGCTTTTGGAACTTACAATAAGAAAGCAATTCACATTGGTTAGGAGACCAGAAGTTGGGGCAAGGGAACCTGAAACCTAGCCTCCCCTACGCACTCTATATCTGATCTAAATTATTCAAACCAAGACCTATAAGAGGATCCGCGGTCCAACTGCATTTTCTTCCTGGTATTTGTATTTACATTTCTAATCAAGAACCTGGAGTTTGATTCCAGTAAAATCACCGAATCAAACTTTTATCCACAAAAAAGGGGAGAAAGGGGGGAGGGGGGTATAATTTCATTTACTTGTCTAAAATGTGTACCATAGAGGGGTATACTTTCAGGAAGAAGCGTCGCCAAAGAGAAGTGTAGGGTGCCTAAAATCATATGCGAAATGAATAATGAATTAATGCCACAAAGAGCACCACAATCATTGAAAATGAGGTCTAGAAAGAATGATCGGTACGTCAAAAAATCAAATAACACAAGCCTCTAAATTATGATCGAGAATTTCCAAAAATTTGGCTGTCTAAATTTGGCACCCCGGGCTGTCAACAGGGTTCTCCCTGCATGAATGCTACATTAGTTCACAAACTCAAACTCGGTGCAGGATGGAACTAATGACTGTTACATTGGACAGCCTGTGCTGCTGACTCGTTAGTGCATATTAACCCCATGCAACACTAACAGTGCCGAAGGCATGACTGCACTGACATGTCACATGGAGAGAGCTGTCGTTTATCGAGTGTGGACAGCCAAAGATTTCTTATATACGATAATGTACCCAATGAACATGAATAAAGCAGCTGCATGGAAAAATGGAATGTCAGTTAACTATTTGATTTTATGGCAGAGCAGGCAACTTTTTTTACAAAAAGGTAATTAACCATCCTAGTTCCTTGGTCCTTGGATAAGTAAAAACACGGCTGATGTATCACTCTGAGAAAACTCTGGTATACATTAACTGAATTAAATATGCAACAACTTTGTTCATCAGTGTAAACGACTCTAACCACGAGTTTTTACAGAGAGGTTAAAATTTTCCCAGCTTGAAGAAGTATTCATACAGCTAATCCAATCCACACTCCCTACTACGAGAGAGTCATTTTGGTTCTAATGAAAAGATAGCCCACACAACTCCATACATCACCACCGTACAACCAATGGATGAATCTTCAAGCAGGCACCCCAAAACTTGGTTGGGTCCATTGTGAAGGATCAACAACAGCACATGGATCTGATTTTTCAAAATCAGCAACCTATAACACCCAATGGAGAAGACACTTTCACTTTAGAAGCTTTAACTAAAGAGAAAAAAGATGCCAGTAATTGCTGCAGAAAACATGGAATTAAATGAAGAAAAAGATAAACTGGAAATATGTCTAAACCTTTTCTTTGCAGCTTGGACAATAGTGATACTTGTGCCAAAGGCAGTCCATTGAAGGGCAAAGGAAGCATACACCAAGCATCATTGGCATCATGCAACCTATAACAGCTGCCAGACTTGGTTTTGATCTACATGACAAAAAAAATCTCACATTTTCAGAAACCAAAAAGAACATGAAAATTATAATTGTTGAAGCAGTGACTGCCACCTCCAAACATCCCAAAAGGTATGCAAGTTCCAGTTTAAATGCATGAAAAACAAAAGCTTATTAACCATTAAGAGACATAGTACTACTCTTGCTTTCTGATTAAACTAGTTAACCTCTGAAAGTTGAAGAAGAATGTCTAGCCAAGGTGGACCCAGAAACAGAAGTACAAAATTTCTTCTGTGAGAAGCATAATGGGGCACAACAAGAAAACAGTCCTTTAGGCAGTCAGTGTAACAATGCATTGTAGAAAAAATGGAAACCAATCATGGGGATTGCAGTATAAGGTCTGTAGGTAAATTACAAACCCAGTCATTTGACAGAAAGTGGGGAAAGTTCCTAAGCTCTTCTAAGTATGTTACTTTTAGGTGATTCCAAGAGTATCTCATAGAATTACCACTTTTTTCTTATTGTAAGATAGTGGTGGATTAAAATGGAAACTCTTGGACGCACTAGTAAATTTTAGAAGCCTACAGAAATAATTACAATGTGCATGAAAATTTTTCATATAACTAACTTATTATATTAATTCTTACAGGCTACAAATAAAAATCATTAATTGCAAATGCGATGACTTCAGCTTCATATACAAACAATGACAACACTTCTTTTGTTAAAAAGATATTTTTCCTAAGACTACGTGCATAAAAAACATACATATCTTATATCTTATAAATTATCTATTTAATGAATAACACAATAACTTCTACTATCTTGAATGAAAGGACAGTTTCACCCCCACAATTTGCCCTCTATTTTTGTAATTTCTGACCTTGCCCTTTATCTCTTTTTCCCGTCTAACATGTTAGTATTTTCCTCTTTCTCCACCCCATTTAAAATAGATATTTGATTCTTTAGGAAAACACTGCCATGAGTATAGGATAAAATTACATCAATGATGGGCTTTCCACAGGAGTGCTGACTTGGACATCCCACATTCTCAGTGAATGGACAAAATGTACCCTTTTTTCTTTAATAACAAGAATAGACAATACATGCATGACTTGCTCAATGGGGCATTCCTATCAATACAGTGAGGGACTGTATACAGATAAATCCCACTCAAAAGCAAGCAACATGATACAAATTACAGAAAAGGTGCCCCACCTACATTACAAATATATTTTCTCCATCTAAGACAGAATAGACAGCAATATCAATAGAAGTCTTCTTCACAGATATCCAGGAACCAATTCTTAACATTAGACAAAAGGTGCCCTATTTACAACAAACGTTAGTACATACAAGTATTTTTGTGTTTCCAAAGTACTTTTTGGCCATTAATAATTTGTGCTCTTCATTTATCCACTTTCCTTCTTTTAATACTGTTATCGATTGACAATTACTAGTTTTTTGTCCTCATCTGTAATCCCTTTACCTGTTATATTTTTGCCCCATGGATTCTAATAATTAGATGATGCAGAGTACAATCTGAAAACCAAGTTTGTTCATACTTCTCTTAAAAATCCTATATTTTGCCTCCAAGAAAAGGGAAAGAATCATATGGATTGTTAAAGTTATTCCAGATGCTGAAAGCATAGTACCTATGCAACCCACTTCTCTTTTCAAACTCAACCAGGCCTTATCACAATTATTAGGGCTGGATATAGAAGTACTGTTCCATCATTCTGTTCTATCTAGGGCTGCATCATTTGAGTATCCTGCCATAATCTTGGGAGGTGAAATATGAAGGTTGTCTCTAAATATGTTCAAATGGTTCCATGAATGCTAAAAACCTAAGTCAAGTTATTCAGCCTTCCTGTATCTGGAATAAGTGCTTATGCAAACACTGCAGAACCTAGCTTCTCCTCATTCCATAGACAAACAACCATGACATGCCATAGAAAAGCCTAAGCACAAACTGTATCATTTGTTATTAGTTTAGGACATCACATGCAAACAATAACAACTATCACAAATGAGTGTTCTTCGAAGATCCAAATGCAGCCCATTTGCTTCTAGTTACATAGCCATTGCCCAATTTGCATTGCATGAATAGCATTAACAGAGACAAGACCTCTTCTTATTGGAGAAATGAATGTACCTCCTCTTATTGATAAGATGACCATGGCTGAACACTGAGATACATTTGAGCATGAACAACCAACCAATGATCCAGTTTTTTATTTTTTCATTTTGGTAAACAGAAACAAATTGAGAGCTCTGCATGCACTTAAACTAATACTGCATCTCTTACACAGTTTCTTTAATTGGTTGAATCCGAAATGTCAACTTTTGAATTTCAAGAAAATTCTAATACTGAGACAATTATCTAAGGACACATTTATTGGAGAGCCTCTATAATAGTTTGGTCTTGTCTTATCTTTGTGTTTGTTCCATTGTTGTTAAAGGGCCACCCAAACTTTTTTTTGATCAGCAAAGGGCCACCTAAGCATTAACCATGTAAATGACTAGGCAATATTGGAGGACCATCAGCTAGGCGAGTGCTACAGATATAACCTTTTTTTTTTATCAGCAATTGTTTCGTTAATTAAAATATGTGGTTTTAGTGAGGTAATTTCTGCCCCCTTTTATATTTCGTATGAGCTTTTGGATCCTAAGTGTAATTAGCCCTTGAAATTAGGGATCTTTCTTTTACTCTGAACCAAGGAAGTTATTTGAAAATTATTTCATTTTATTCCTAAAACACATGACTCCACGCTCACTATCATTGCCGTTTAATTTATTATTTGTACGGAATTTCTTTTGACCATTTAATTTGTTATATTTTTATCCAGTTTACAGAAAAAAAAAAAAGACAAGACTTGCAGTTTGACACTTGACAGATTAATGATTAACAGGATACTAGATAATACTTATGTATTTTGGTCTCCTAAACGATGCTTAATTGTGCCTTAGGTGTTCACTTGCCTTATCAGGCCAGAGCACATAGGTGAGAGCAGGTCCCCCTAACTAGACTGCTTCCTTCCTTTGGGTTGTAGTGTTTTTATCTCGGTTTGGTTTGTCCCTCTAGGTTTTTCAGCACATATATATGATCATAACCAGCACACCTTCGATCGCAATCGAGAACGCTAAGCATAATCTTTATATAGAATTCCGACTATGAATCTACACAATTACTCCTAAAATAGATACAGATACTGATCGAGAGTCATTCCTTCAGTTTCAATTAACCAATTCAATCCGAAAGATTTTGTTTGGAGATCCAAGCTAATCCTAATGTTAAGACGATCAATCATATACGTATTAATAATATTTATATCGTGAGAGAGAGAGGTGGGGGTTGCCACAAGGAAAAGCGTAGAAAGAGAGAAGGGAGGGATTGAGAAAAAGACCTGACGGTGGTGAGGCCGGAACTGCCACAATAGACACAGGAGAATGGAGCGGGGGTATCCCTGAAGATGGTCTGTTGCAACGGAATCCCCTTGGGATCGTCGTATACGGCGTTAGGTGGGATCATTCCCGCCTGATACGGGTTCTCTCCCACATAATAGCACTGCTGCTGTTGCTGTGGGTGCGGTACCGGGATACCGACCGCCGGCTCGTTCTTCTTCGACATTTTCCCTCTTTCTTACTGCTATCTTGCTTTCTCTCCGTCTCCCACCTGTTCTACTAGATTAGAGGAAACACAGACGCCTTCTTTCCATTTATAATATTAATACTATACTATTTTTTAATAGGGTTTTTGCTTTGATTTTTCGTCTGTCGTCATTCATCATCATCGTCGTCGTCATCAGACGAAGAAAGCAGGAAAGAACCAAAGCAAAAGCAAACGACGTGTTCAAAGTTCAAACTTCCGCTACCGAACTTTCGATTAGAGGTGTAAAGTGGGCCGGCACGGCCCGGCACACGACCTACGCCCGTGTGGACTCCAACGCTATTTATTTAAAAAATTGATAAAAAACTTAGAATTTTAATTTTATATAATTTTTGTGTATAAAATTGTTTATACATATAATAATTAAATAAATTAGTATAATAAAATTAAAAAATATTTATTTTATTAATATATTATATATTACATATTATTATATAATTATAATTTATATAATATTTTATAAATATATATATATATATATAATAAATATAAATAATATATATGAATCATATCGTGCCATGTTGCTCTTATCGATAAATTACATACAAGTAACCTGTAATTTGGAGTAATCACAAATATGTATCTAAACTTTCAATTGCAATTCGTGAATACCCTCCCATCTTTTGAAGAATGCAACATTGCATCCCGCCCCAAATCCAAGGCCAAATATTTTTATGGGTAAATTACAGATAATTATCTTGTATTAAATTACCTTTTTGTGTAATTTTTAGATCATTCTACATAATTAAATCATCAATTAATAATCGAATGATCATTCTACAGATCATTCGAATATACGAAAAAAGTATTTTTTAATATTATATAATATTTAATTAATAAAATAATATTAAATGGGCCCAGGTGTTTATTTTTGAGAGTTATAATTGAAAAATCATGTACCTACCTGTCACTACCCCATATTATAAGATACCCATATGTAATTTACCCTATTTTTAAAATAGCGCCAATCAGTAGTGGGTCCGTCACCCATCACGGTATATGATTATGATCTAAATTGCGAAGCACCCTTTCACGATAAAGAAATGACCAGGAATGATGGCAGATACGAATATGATCATTTCATATATTGAGGTTGAGCCAACATTGATCCCATTAAATTCCACACCGTAACATGATTCATTCAATACTCAATACATAATAGCCTCTGAAGAAATGGAAATGCATAAAATGGAGTGGATTTATCCGATCTTGTCATACACAATAATCCTATTAAATAATAAATACTAAATAGATAAGTTTAGATCCTGACAGTGATAAGGATTCACCGTTTAAAAATAGGGGTTTTTATTGTTAAGTCCATCCTTAAAAATTTTATTTTGGATGAATCCTGATCGTAAATTCATGTTAAATTCATAAACAGAATGCGGTTTATAGGAGGGTTACTAGTGGATTAGGAGGAGATTATAATTTCAGATTTTTAAGGTGGATGCAATCTAATTATCTCGGTAAATTACAAGGATTATAGGTTCAATGGCACTAGACCTGTTCATGGGCCGGGTGGCCCGACGGGCTGGCCCGGCCCGGCCCGACTCCCGGACGGGCTTGAACAGGATTTTTGGCCCGTGGGCTTAACCTCGGGCCAAAAAGTCCGGCCCGCATAAAATTCGAGCCGGGCTCGGGCTTTGCTAAAATAGCCCGGCCCGAGCCCGACTTATAGTTAAACTTAAGTAAATCCGGCCCGACCTATAGTTAAACCTAAGTAAAAACCCTATGTGATGTCTATTTGAATAAATTTTTTGATTTGAGGTCATTGATTCACTTGTAGATCCATTGTTCATTTAAATAGGGGGAAAAAACATTTAAATTAAAATAGAAAATGTCAGAAAATTTTGAATTTCTTTTATTAGGTCGGGCTTCGGGCTCGGGCTYGGGCTTCGGGCTTTTCATTAGGGCCGGGCTCGGGCCCAAATTGTAGGCCCGTTGGTCGGGCCGGGCTCAGGCTCGGGCCTAACAGTTTTCTGTTAATAAAAAGTCAAAGCCCGGCCCGGCCCATGAACAGGTCTGAATGACACAGACCCCTATATTTTAATTTGTAATAAAGACTCCCTTAACTTTTACATTATGACAAATACCCCTTTAGTCATTAACTGACATTATGAAAGATGTTAAATTACCAAAATACTCTAATAAACTTTTTCTATTTTCTTTATGTTCTTTCGTTCAATAATTGTCAGATATTGAGCCCCATTCTTTTACCGAGAAAATCCCATTACAAACAACCCAAGACTTGAACTTATTTGTTTAGAAAACATATGGGTTTGGGTTTTCGTAGAAGCTCTCTCCTCAGAATTGCTACCATTCTCATAATCTTGCTTTCAATTTTCCAGACGCTTGTGGCAACAAGACTTCCGGATGGAGACACAGTGCTTCAGCTTCAATCCCTCCAGCAATGCCCAGTGACACCTTTTGAACGTTCAGGATGTACAAACAGACCCAACAATGGTGGTGGCATATGTCCAATCAAATCCAAAAAAGTTGAAGGTCTTGTCCCTGTTGCACCACCGGCCTTTCCTGGTGTGGTTATCGACTTCGATCGGCGCTACTGCTTCGGCCGACAATGAGACTTGCCGTGAACATGGGTCGTCTTGAGATCATCTTGATATATTCGATTTAACTCCAATACCCAAATGTGGAAGATGAAACAAGTTCAAAAGATTCTACAGAATTATCATCATTAATTCTTTCTATTTCCTTATCTTTTAATTTGATTCTTTCCTTGGCCTTGTCGAAAAGTTGGGCGTGTTGCTAATCGGTTTTGATTTTTGTAATTTCTCTAACCCATTCAACTTATTCAGAATTCAAGAAGTACTTTCTTGATAACCCAAAAAATTCTGATTTCTGAAGCCATGATCTATATATCATTTGATTTGGTGGAGACTGGAGAGTGCTTTCAATACCAACAATTCATTACATCAAGTTCTAGCCTACAAGATCTCTATTGGGGGACTGATATTTTAGTCCTCATCTCTTCTTTAATTTGTAAGCCTAGACAGGCTAATGGTCCCTAATGGTGCACGATCTAGAGTTTCTAGCTAGATGACAGTTCGGACGTCCGTTGTTTGGCTGGCGAGTCAAGCTGCAAGAAGAGAAAGCATAGAGAACCCGAGGTTGTTAACTTGGCGTGGTTACTCCGATGTTTAAGTCAGTGGCTAGTTGTGTAAGTGAGGTAATGCTTGAATGCAAGAGAGCTAGTAAGCACAAATCGCGCGTATCTACCTTCTGAGGTTGGAGGTAAGGCCTTTATATATGCATTGTTTGGCATGGGCATCACGCACCATGTCCAAGATCTCTGGGAAGATGTGCCTAATTGGTCTGAAGTCCTCGGAGGTAGTTGTGCATGTAGGTCGGCTTTTGCGCCTTATTCGGTTTCCTCCGGAACATTCGGTGTAAGAACTGACTTCCGAGAGACTCGAGAGTGACGGGATGCATGAAGAGTTGGTTGGCAAACATGTTTCGCAGGTCGCCACTTAGACCTTAATCAGGTCGGAAAGCCTTCGAGGGAGGTCGCTCCTCACATTGAAGTCACTTCGGCCGGTACTAATGAGGTACCATAGGTCGGCCCTGGACGAGTTGTTGCTAGCCGCCCTAAGTTGTAGACGAGGTCGCAAGCTAGATTTCCACCAGGTCGATAGCAAAGGCAGGTCGCCAAGTCGGCGACAGAGGCAGGTCACCAAGTCGCCAGCTGGGACTCCATCATTTTGGCTAAGGCAAGTCATCGCCTAAGTGATGCTGGGATGCTATCCAACTATTCTACAATGCCATGTGTCATGATGTCAATGGAGGGCCAAATCTGCCCTCGTCAATTGCCCCCCACTCCCGAGTTGAGATTAGCTTAGTGAAGGGAGTAGCTTTATTGTAGGTCATTTGGCCTGCTACCAACATATTTCAAGGTTTGGCTTCCTCTTGTAATACGTGTGTCACTATTGGCATTTGAATAGCGGGTTGGTGCCATGGCTGTTCTGTGTTAGTTCTCGGAGGTGCTGGTCATCTACTCCTACGATAAGCCACATGGAGCTCAACCTATGAGGCAAGCTCTTCTAATTGCAGGTTGCCAACTCACACGAGAACCTTGAATGGCTCAACCCGCAAGGGTGACTGCAGTCTACTAGCCGCTGACTCCCACGGAAGCCGCAAAGGGCTCGATCTGTAGGGGCAATCTCGCGAACAGGGTTGGCAAGGCTCGTTTGGGCTGAGTATGTCGTCGCCAGGTCGGCGAAGGTAGGTCTCCATGTCGGCGGCAGAGGCAGATTGCCAGGTTGGTGGAAGTAGGTTGCCAGGTCAGCGGAAGTAGGTCACCAGGTCAACGGTGACAGGTCTCCAGGTCGTCAGGTTGCCAGGTTGGCGGAGGCGGGTCTCCAGGTCATCAGGTCAGCGGAGGCAGGTCTCCAGGTCTTCAAGTCGGCGGAGTTTTGACGGTCCAGTTTTTCTCTTAGCACCTCGACCTACAGACACCTCGTCACCTCGGCAGGATTGACCTATGAGGGTGTCTCCACAACCTGCTGGCCATCAACTCCCATGTTGAGCATGGAGGGCTCGACCTGCGGAGCGACCTCACAATTTGATGGCTATCAACTCCCACGAGAACCACGGAGGGCATGACCTACAGGGTGGCCTCACATTCTGTTGGCTGCCAACTCTTGTAGAGAGCACGTAGGGCTCAACCTATGGGGGTGGCCTCATAGTTAGGGAGATTCTGTTTGGGCATGACTGCGAGAACTCATTTGGGCATTTTGATTCTGCCCCCCTGGGGGGTTCTTTCGATCAAGCGTTGTTGTTGTTGCTTGAGGATGCAATTACTTGAGGCTCAGAGAATTGGGTGAAAACTCAGCTTTTGGTAGTGATTGAGGTCCAGGTGGCCCGATGAGGTACCACAGGTCGGCCTGATTGAGTACCGGTGTTTGCAAGTCGGCTAGCAGCACCTCGGCGTTTGCAGCAAGAAAACGACAGTTCGCTTGATGGTAACCAGTTCGGGGCGCGAACTCAAGACAGGGCCTCTTTGTCCAGGATAGCCAGCCCCA